GTTAGCTGGGCGAGTGTGTGTTGTGCTTGGCACCACTCGGCGCCTGGTCGGGAAATGTCATGCTCTTTACCATAGCCGCCTGCGAGCTTCAGTGTAAATATTGCCTCAAAATCAAATCAATTTGAGCGCGATTTAAACCCGGATGATTGTAACCACTCTAAGTTCGTCGGCCTTGGGAAAGTTAGCGAGTCTCAGACATAGTGATAACACTCATTGCCTTCTCTAGTGCAGCTCAACCAGGTCTCGTCCCATTCGTCGATATTTGTGATATCACAAATCCCAGAAAATATGCATTGTAGTCCAAACGAGTCGTTCGTTGTAGTTTTTGAAAAGTGATTTCTGTTAAATAAAATATCTCCCTTTGAATTGGACTTTGAGCTTTGTAACTTTGCAGATCTTTTTTTATGCTCAAACAGCAATATTACAGACTAACTAAAGTTGAAAAAGTGAAAAAGCATAATAGGACCCCTTTAACACGGTCTTTTCACATTGTGTATAATGGGGTTAGTTGGTCTTGGACTTTTGCTGCAGGCATTGTTGGTGGGCTTTTAAATACTTAAGCCCAATTTGCTTGCTGCTGAATTAAACTGACAATAGTACCAGCAAAAAAAATAAAAGGGAAGATAAAATATCTGACTCCTTTTATTAAGAAATATACATTTTCCTATAAAACACTGTCAGTTGAATACTGAAAACAGTAGTGAAGTCAAAAGTATTAGATAAAATTATAGTTTACAAAGTTAACCCTTCAATACATCCAGATATATAAAGATATAATTTTTTATGACGATATTTATGTGTTTATCTAATATCCAAATATAAATATCTTAAGTAAATTCAAATATAGATAGAGGGCGGAGTGAAGCAAGAGAAGGTGTGGAGAGAGAGAGAGAGAGAGAGAGAGAGAGAGAGAGAGAGAGAGAGAAAGACTTCCCAATTATGGGAATTTGCACTCACAATTTATAAACATAACCGCATTACACAGAATAGAGTGCAACGGTCAGGTTACACAAAGTAAAATTCCCATTCATATTCTCCATATGGGAATTAATTTGAATGATAATTTGTAATCCTATAAGGACAGATCTACTGTGAGCTATGAGGTTAATCGATGGTATTTGCTTTTGCTGAAGCCATCAGCCTGCAATATTTCAACTTATTTTAATAATCACGTTTAACTGTGGAAAAAATACACTACCCATAATTCAGCAAAGAAATCTCCACCATTCAGAAAATGGCAACAAGCTAAATTGTGCCAAAATAACTCTTTAGTGCCCATCCACTCCCATAAAGCATAACAAATGACTTATGCTGAATTTGGAAATGCATAAAAGTGTACTACTTTTCTGCCATTGAAAGATATTGTAAAAATAGAAAGAGTAGAATGCTAGTGGGCAGATCTGAATTCAGCAATCAGTCCGTTTTCATATGCATGACATGACTTAAAATATTGATATGCATATTTTTCAGTATAGTTATAAAAGTTCAATATTTCTGCATCGTTTTTTATTTAATGACCTATTTGCAATGCTTCATGGGATTGCAGTTTGTAATACTTTTTTGTTGTTGTTGTTGTTTCAAACCACCCCGAAGCTGATTGCTTCATGGCTTAAAACTCTTAAATGAATAAATTTATTATTATTATTATTATATATTTTTTTGTAAATCCCTATGAGGAAAATGAATGGGAAAAATAATTCCCAAATCAAGGCTGCTGGAAAAGTGGGTAGGTCACATTTCACGATGCAAATATTACAGACACCATCGCCAGAGGATAGATTTCGAATGATGAGCATTTTGCAAGGGTTTTAAAGCAAAGGTTAATACACATTTCTTAAATGTTTATTACATTTATGACAATAAAAATACATATAGTACCTAAGGCTATTACACTATTAATACTACTATACACAAAAAGTCTGAAAGAACAATGTGTTAATGCGGAATGTATAGAAATGTGACGTTAATTTGTAGGGCAACCTTATTTGGGTTAGCCTATTTAGCGGGTGTACATTTCTAAGTAAATAAATAAATAAATAGCATTTTTTAGTAAAGTAAAAAGCCAGTGGTTAACATTACCTTAAGAGACTTTACGTCTATTTTTATACAGCACCCGCCTGAAAAGCATTAACAAGATAAACCGGTGTGTCTGATAAACAGGTGTATTCACCTCATCACAAATGTCTGCTTACCAGCTGTTTAAGGTCCTCCTCTGACAGTCCCGCATAACGATATCTCTGCTGCTCGAATTCATATCGTGTGGTCTTAGTCACAACCGCCACCTTCGCCGGGTTGAAGCCACATTCAGCTTGCGAAGCAACTTTACACACGGCTGTCTGATGAAAACACAGACGACTACAATAGCTCCCAGTGAAACCCGCCACTAGTGGATTTCCACAGGAAAGGGATTTCCTTAAAGCTCGGGATAGCATTCTACTACCGCAAAATAGTATTGGGGAAAATGACCAGAAACCACAAAATGAATTACACAATGAACATTGTCAGTCATTCAGTGCTTGAATCCTGTCCTCATCAGACAGACAGACAGACAGACCACCAGTCTACCACGGGCAATTCATTAAAGGGGCTTTACGGCTTCAATATGCTGCAGGTGCTTGGCAAAGTAAATTAAAGCGATGCAAATTGTACTAAACACACAAGACTGATTTATCTATGGGATTGTAAGGTGTTAAAGTAACCAGCAGTATTCAGTGACTGACAGTTAACCTGCTAACCAAGGCAAAGCACCTAATCTTACTTTCTAAACATATGGCCACAGCGGCTATGACTGTGATCTGACTAGCAGGTTGTCACCTGCTGGCTACGCAGTGTCTGAAGGACAGAAGGTCACAATTGCTGAAGGTTTCGTGCACGATGCCCTTTCTAAGTGTACGTGATCTAGCTGATTACAGCTGTCAGTTTTAGCATGACAACCTGGCCACCAACTCTACCTCTCCAAGCGCGGTGACCGATCACATCCCCGTCTATCTGCCCTCAGACATCTGAACGACGGAGAGCGCAAGTCTAAGCGATCCACGGAAACCTGGCGTTTAGCGTCTGCCGAAATACAGTACTTCAAAACACAAACTTGAGGCTAATAAAAACATCAGATCCCACACTCACGCATGCCGCCATCTTTAAAGCACGTAGCGCTGACTCGGTGGGCGTGGCTTTGGATAGAGTTTTTTTCAGAGCCATGGAAAGAGAGAGTTGCGTCAACGGAAGTCCAAAACGCTCGGTTGTCACGTGATTCACGTAGACCACAGTTTTGTATGTTTATTCAGAGTCCGCTTCATCTGAAGTCCTCTGAAGGGTTGGCGTCATTTCTTCACAGGTGTTGGGTCATTTGAAGTCTGAATATAGAGGCTGAATATAGTCAGCAGGAGCAATCTATAGATCACATCAACAAAATGTGATGTAATCATACTAGGGAACTGGCACTTTTTCACAAAGAGCAGGGAAAGACTTGCCAAAACCAGTGAAGAGACTCATTGTGAGGGTGATGTCTCTTTACAGGGAGTCTTCAGGTGGTTCTTGTTCTGAAAGCAAGATAGCGAAGGAGAAAAACACAGGAGAAATGGTTAAGTGATGCTCCATCACATTGCAGTCCTGTGGCATCTGCTCCTTCAACACAGTGCTTCTTTAGTAGCTAAGACGTTTAAGTATAAAATACAGTAATAATGTACAGGTTTACTGTAATTACTTCTATAATATAGTAGTGGTATATAATCCATTTTTGGACATTTAGCCTAGCATGATTCTGAAATGAAAACTGCTCACCTACATTAAACTTTTCATTCTCACTTTGGTCCATCTGCATCCTCTGCAATATATCTAAGTCTATTTAATAACTCCCCACCAGCAAAATCACTTAAATTACACAACGATGGATGAAACTGCATGAAGAGAATGAATAACATCCCGTAAATCTACTAATTAAGTGAGGCATAATCTAATGATAATCTGTTTTAATGCACAGGGTAATTTGATTAGCTGTGCTGATAATATACTATTTTGTTTTATAAATGTCATACCTTTCAAAAGTTCATCACAGCGGTCTCTTCTGCTGCATCTCTAAGGCGCTGATAGTATGAGCGCTAACTTCCGGGAACTATTGAGTGGCTCCACGATCCGCCATTGCTGTAAAAAACTGGTCCATTGGAGTGAACGGAGTTGTCACAACTCTCTCTCTCTACAGCTCTGGGTTTTTTTTGTGCTAGTGTGCCCATTCTGTACTGGCGCACAGAAGTCTAGGTATCTAATACGTTTATGGAGAATATCTCAACAATTTGAATCTAAACAAGGTTTCCAGATAACAATAAAAAAAAATTAATACAATAACTGAAAACCATGATATTGCTGTAACACTGGCTTTTCCATAGTTATTGATGACGCTAAAAAAAAGTATATAATAAAAAGTTTAATGACATGTAACATGAGTTCTTGACAAGAGTACTCAGTTTATTATAGCAGTTATAACTAATACTGAACTCAAAGTTGTGTAATGTATCCCCTATTTTTTTATGTACATCATATTATGTTTATTGTTTAAGCTCAGTAAAAAGTGTAATTGCTGACGAATGAGGTGGGGATTGAGCGTTCAGTTAATTGGATCTTCTTCCTTGCTTGGAAGGAAAGTCTGAGCTTGAAGTTCGAAGTGTCAAATAATGTAGGCGGACGGAAAGTTCGGGAAGACAAGACTCTCCTTCTAAAAACTTCTTGATTGTGGAGAAATAGTGGTACCTTGGATAACTGCCCAACAGGATGGACGAGAGTTCTTGCCAAAGACAGTGAACTACATTGAAATCTGAAGCAAGATAGTTTATAACCCTACACTCTTTAACAACGTCCCTTCTTGGAGTAGCCTGTCGCATTTGACAGTGACTTATATAGGATGCGCAAATAATTGCTATTTGTTATACGGGGATTTTATTTAGGGCTCCACTGTGCTTGTGTTGTAAATTTACGTTGCATTCGATTTACTGTTTAATAGACCAATGTATTTGATTATTAAAAATTGATTATTCATATCGATTTTTCAATTAATTCAAAATGTGTCTCCATACATCAGTAGTTTTCAGCTGTTTTCGTCAAGACTAGTGAACAATCACTCAAAAATGTACGTGCACTGAAAGTGCAAAGCGGCCCCTCTTGTTATGCAAATGCAATTACATTTAACAGACGCAGACGCACAATAACACTACCATTCAGTAGCGCAGAGACACAAACCCAAGCAGAGAAAATTTGATCTAGAACTCATATTTTTCCCCGCTCTCGTTACCCATAACTGCAGCGTCACACAGTTGGTCGGGATAGATCAGTGAAGAAGCTACGGGAGGTATTTCCTTTCACTTGAGAAAGAAAAGCGGACAGCACACGGACAGACGGACAGACGGAGACACCGGCGCGCTTGCTTCTGACCGGCTTCAGTTATTCGGTGAGATATTGAGCTACTTATCCTTTGCTCACACAGACAACATTTTGGTACGATTAATATACTGTGAAAAGCGATTATGTAAACAAGTTTGTCGGCTGTAGTGTCACCGTGATGTCCTTTCTGTGGGCTGTGGGACATTTGTGCTTCGCGTTATGAATACTTTTTTTGTTTAAAGGCTGAAAACCTGGTGTCTTCAATATTTGTAATCTACTTCTTTTCAGGCACATGTTGATTAAGGCATTAGTATGCAATGAGCCTTGCTGTAAATAAAATATCACTGAAAAATACAAATGCTGACCGCGGGAGGCAACTCTGCCAAAGTGAACCAATAGCAATTATTATTTATATTATAGATTAATTATTTAGTACAATTCCATCATTATTAGTGTTTTTTTTATTCTTTCAGGATGAGAGTCATATAGCCAAGTGTTGTATAATCAGCCTTGCATATGTAATGAAATGTAATTAAAATTGTACAATTGGAAATTACACTGGCATATAGCTGAAGCAAAGACAATATTACACAGTGACATTTTATAATATACCACACTGATTATTAGTAACATCATCTCAATGCTTTAAACATAAACTGTGTAAAATTATTAAGGGATGAAAGTAATTATTTTATTTATACATTGACAGAGCCCTCATTCATCTTGCTTATGGGCGCAACACAGACCGAGCCAACCCTGAAGTTGGGTAAACTGGAAATGGCACGCCAGAGGCTGCTACAGCGTTATGAGCACCAGCCCTTTGTCTCCTGTCTAGCTGGACTGTACGGCTGCCAGTGGAGGCGTTACCAGATCACACATGCTCAGCCTGGACACTGCTGCTGCTCTAAGGTGCTCTCATGGTAACTTATAATGCTGAGATTATTTAAAAATAAGCTGTTAAGCAAGTTAACTTGATCAAAGCAATTATGCATTGTCACAGTAAGAGGAAATTTTGATGCAAATAAAGTACTTCACAAAAATTCCTCTTTTTTTTGTGTCCTTACATGCCCATGTGTGATTATTCTAGTAATATTTAGGTCATGTTGAAAATGCATTGATAGTAAGCCAGATATTTATGCATTATATAATGGCTTAAAAAGGCTTAACTGTCTTTAATCTTTCAGCTGGAGTGTGGCAGTTTTGCTCTGATCGTTCTGACATTTTGTCTCAGTCTGGTGTTCCTGTACTTCTGGAGTGAAGCACAGAATGACTACAATGACTTTGACTGGTTTGTGTCATACATAAAAGATACATTTTAGATTTGTTATTGACTTCCATTATTCATTACTGTTAATTTTGTTTACACAAAGTTGTTTTCCAACCCGAAACATTTCTTTAATAGTTCAATAGACAGAATGACAATGGCACATATAATTTTTTAAAAAGATCTCTCAACTTAGGTAACTTAACTGGAATACACTAAAGTAATATTTCTCCTGCTTTGCCTCCAGGTTTAATTTTGGTAATCTGGGCTTCTGGTTTCCATGGTCCATAGTTTTGTTGATTCTTGCTGTTTTTTTGTTCACTTATGTTGCTGTTCTGCTGGTATGTGCTTTAAGAATTTTTATATATATATTTTTTTACAAAACACAAAACCCCACAGTTAAGAAATCACTATTATAGTTTAATGGTCTCCATTGTGACAGATTAAATGTACTTATTGTATCCTAGTTGTCAATGTTTTTTTTTTTGCTTTTTATGCATAAAGTCTCCATAGCAAGTTACTAAATGGTCCATCCGATAATTTGCTGGTAATAAATATGTTTACATTCACAGCTGCTGGCAGTTTGTCTTCTCTCAGATGGCCAGAGATTATATTTACACTGGTGTCACAAGGTAATTTCATCCACATCTCGTCTATGTAACAAACTAAAAGTCGGAGACTTTATGGTTTACACTTTTGAATTGATGGTATCTCTTTTGATAGATCGGGATCTCAGTGACTTTGATTCTCTCCATTGTGGCCTCATCTGTTCTCACAGATTTATGGAGCAAAGAGTGGATGACTGTACTTTTATCTTTTCAGGCATGTTTACTATCATAATATTAATATTGGAGCACATAACTGTGACATTTAATGTTCTCCATTCCCATTTGTCAGGTAACTGCTCCATATCTACACATAGGTGGTGTAGTTTTAATGACTCTATTATCTTGGCCAATAGCCTTGCATGTCTTCCGTATCAATATGAGAGGTAAGGATGAGTTTTTAGGTATAATATATTTCCAATAACCAAAAGGAAATATCCTTTTTTTTTAACCACCCTGATGCATCTTATGTCACAGAAAGTGCATATTTTTTATGGTGAATTATCTGCCTGTGTCTGTTTCAGTGAGAGGGATGGCCATCATTGTGCTGTACATAACTGTTCTAGTGACTCTGTTTTTGGTTCCTCTGGGCATGTACTCCCCCTGCATTAAAGAGAGGAGCAGTCTGGGAACAGCTCCTGCTTTAATTGGACACAGGGGAGCACCAATGGTACACTTCGTTATTCTTCTTAGGCTTTTCAGGTTCAAGCACCAACCTTTGAATATTAATGTTTTTTTCTATGTTAATATACTTTCTAGTTTTATATATATATATATATATATATACACACACAGTATATATATCATACATTGGGATAAACTGTATGTGACTTTTTATTGATTACAGAAAATACGCTGCTGCTAACATCAGCACCAACCTGTATGTGATCAGCCAGCCGTGGCTGTATTCTCTTGCCTGGTGCGCAGGGGCTCATTCTGTCGCCACTAATGCTGTTCACATCCTCAAGAACCTGCAAAGACCGCTCTTTCTCATGGTAAATGACACACATCTACAGTTCTCAGAGATTTGTCCATCCTGTTTTTTCCCTGTGGTTTTCCTCTCTGTCTCTCACAGACACCGGATGAGTACAGGCTTATGTGGACTCTTACTGACATCACTTCCCTTATTCTTGTCGTGATTATCTTTGTGTTTCACTGGTGAGTCTAAGCACAGAATTTACCACATCTCACTGTGACAGTGAACATGTAGCTGCAGTCCGAAATCACTCTGTAGTCCATACAAAAGACACTATTGTAGGCTGTTAATGGTGATGTATTTGCAGGTGGAGGGAGCGTGGGTTGGCTCTCAGTGTGGACAGCAGTTCAGTAATTGAGAGTGGGTCCTACAGACAGTTCAGGACAGGTAAGAGGCATTTAATCTTTTAAACCACCTCTTAAGTCAAATTATTGAATTATTATTTGAATAGTTCTCAAAAATGAAAAATTGCTGAAAAAAAAAGACTCTTAGATTGTTTTATTTATCACAGTAAACCCCCAAAAAATTTACTCATAGCCAAGTCATCCAAGATGTAGATGAGTTTGTTTTTTCATTGGAAAAATGTACATCAAAATACTCGCCAATGGATCCTCTGCAGTGGATGGGTGCGGTCAGAAATTAGAGTCCAAACAGCTGATAAAAACATCACAATAATCTACAAGTAATCCACACGACTCCAGTCCATCAATTAAAGTGCCCCTATTATCCCATTTCGAATATTGCCTTTCAGGCAGTGTGTAATGTAGCTGTATGTGAATGCAAACGATCTGCAAAGTTGCGAAGCCGAAAGTGCACGATAAATAAAGTTATTCTCCCAAAAGAAAGAATCGACTCTGAAAAGTCTAAACGAGTCATCAGTAATTCGAAACCCATGGCTACACGTCACGGGGTAACACATTTGCATAATGCCCACCTTCTACGTTTACCGGCCGCGCCGCAAACAACTTGACCCGCCCTCAAACTCTGTACTGTAGCTTGTGTGTGGTTAACATCATGTCGAGAAGACGCTGTGTCCTACGCTGTGCAAGTAAATTTGTTTTATTTTCACTTCCAAAAGATGAAGCTGCAAAGAATCAATGGTTAAAATATTTTTTTTCCCACTGTACCGCAGCAGTACAACCCCAATCTTTTTTTGTGTTCCCGTCATTTGACTGACATCTGCTTCTCTAATCTCGGGAGTTCAATGTGAGATTCACAAAACTCTTGCCCTTATAAATAATAGATGTTTATATTTTCTATCGAGCATTCAAAATACGGAACTATAGCAATGGGCATATCGTTTCTGACACACGCTGTATGCGGTAGACCAATCACAACAGACTGGGCCATCTGACCAATCAGAGCAGAGTAGGCTCACAGAAAGGAGGGATTTAGAGAGATTGAATCTTAGAATGGCTTTGAATGATTTGTTTGAGAATCATTGGAAAACAAAGGGATATTAAATGCATATTTTGAGAAAACGAAAGTGTTTTTGACCTTGCATGCATGTAAACCTATTGTAGGAGACTCCCAAAACAATATTAGGAACCTTAAAAATGGCATAATAGGGCCACTTTAACGTCTTGTGAAGTGAAAAGCTGCGTGTTTGTAAGAAACATCTCCATCATTAAGGCATTTTAACTTTAAACCTTTGCTCCTGACAAAATATGAATCCATAATCCATAATAGTGCTTCCTACAGTGAAAAAGTCCATCCCCCGTTGTCCTCTCACTTCAAAATCCACTGACATATTTGTTTAGAACTGTTTTCGCTTGTAAATGGTGCTTAATCTTTGCATAGCTCTCTCCTCATTCAGAGGAGATGACATTTTCACTGGAAGAGGCAATATTATGGATTATTAGCCAAAAGCAATGGTTTTAAATTAAAATTATGGATTTGTGTCTTACAAACACACAGCTTTTCACTTCACAAGATATTAATTGATGGACTGTAATCGTATGAATTACTTGTCCAGCTGTTTGTACTCTCATTCTGACGGCACCCATTCACTGCAGAGGATCTATTGGTGAGCAAGTGATGTAATGCTAAATTGTTCCAAATCAGGATTCTGGATGGGCTGAGGGTGAGTAGATTTTCATTTTTGGGTGAACTATTCCTTTAATCTGAATCTTCAAGACCATAACGCTGATCATATTTCACATTCCCATGAACAGATATGAATGATGTGTGGTCTTTATCCAACATGAGTGCCTCTGACAAGCAAGAACCATCTCTTTGAAGTGCATGATGAAGTGTTCTGGTTCATATTCTGCTTGTCTGTCATTTAGTGATCAAACACTTACAATTTATAAACTGTAAGGGTGATTTCAATGTACCACATAAACAGTGGTTTATACTGGCTTAACTGAACATCAGTTACAGTTTTATATATATATATATATATATATATATATATATATAAAACTGTAACTGATGTTCAGTTAAGCCAGTATAAACCACTGTTTATGTGGTACATTGAAATCACCCTTACAGTTTATAAATTGTAAGTGTTTGATCACTAAATGACAGACAAGCAGGCTGTCTTCATGTAATATTAATGGGATACATACAGTTAATAAATGCTTAGTTCTAGTGACTAATCTTGCACCTCATTTGAATTATGGCCTTTTGCAAGCCCCAGGTTTTATCAATGCTAGTGTAAAGGTTTCCATTTCAAGCATGAATGGAAATATTTGTCATGTCGATGAAACTCACGTTTCCTTCACTGAAATATTGGTGGATCCATTGGTTTTGTTTAATCTCAAGTGGTATTTAAAATACATGTCATGGTTTTGGCTGAATCATTACTCCTAGACAATAGTGTAAGAATCCAAGAGGTCATAAATTATTTTTATGCTAACATTTTGTAATTTAATACACGTCTAATTCAGTATCATATTTAAGCCTCATAAGATCATTCAGTGTAATCACTTTTTGGTTATTGCAATATGTTTAACTCATACGTACAATCTTGTTATTTTTATTTCTTGAATAAATCTTGTGTCTGATTAAATTCTGGCAAGAGCATATTGTTTTACACTGAGTTTAGCAAAAAACTACAAAACTTTACACAAACTACAAATTGTGTTGTTATTAAGTAAACCTATTAAAAATATTTTTTGTTAATTGAAATAAAGCAAAATAAAATATAATTATTAGTTGAAAAACTTAAACTAAAAAAATGGGAAATGTTGTCATGGCAACTTACTGAAAATAAGTTGAAGTACTAAAATAAATTAAAACTGAAAAAAAAGTTAAATAAAATATATTAAAAAACAATGAAAAAAACACAAAATGACTTAAAAATTAAAAAACATCTGAATATTAATAATATATAAACAATATTAAAATAACACTGATTACAAAATTTGACAGTCATTTATAACTAGACCTATTTTATAAATAAAGGGGTTCATGTCACGCGTGTAGCATTCAAAGGATCTAATTGTAAAGTGATTGATCATATGATCGTAAATCATTGATCAATTATTAAAATAGCCCAGCTATCTCATATGTTATTGTTTTATTTATAAACAGCAGCTTCCAACACAAGAAAATTGGAATGACCAGAATTACAAACTAGCAATACAGTACATACGTTCTAAAAAAAAAAATAAAAAAAAAAGAATAAATAAATTGGACAATGTCCAATCTTGTGTATAAATTATAATGATTGTTGTCATATAACTGATCATTTAATTTATAAGACACATTCTAATATGCATCTCTGAAATACCTGGTCAAGCATTTACAAAGGTAATAAAGTAATACTATTCAGAAAAATTAAGAGGATATATTTTTAGACTGAATAAAATTTTGTTATCATTTGGTTAAAATTAATAATAATAATCAAATCAAATCATTTCATTAAATTAATTCATGTATCAATCAGTTCAATAAGTGCTGACCTAGAGGTCAAATATGACCAGGAGGAGAATCTTGTACGTCTTTAAGCTAAGGAGTAAAACCAAATTCTGCAACATTTCCATATCTTTATAATGCATTTCATTGGCAAAATGAGATGTGCAAATCATTCACAAATTAAATAACTGAAATCATGAACTTGATCTGACTTAATAGACTTTCAATTTGGTATCACAGTAAAAACCATACGAGGGCCTAAAACTTAAAGGCAACAAGTGTTTTTGACTGTCAATTTATCATGTTCTTCATTGACATTAAAAGACTGAGAAATGCTATAAAATAAATTAAACTCGCAATTTACAATTAAGGCTCCAGCATGAAAAAGTAACAACACTAATGGCAGATTCAGTTTATCTTCATGTATCAAAATTATGGATCTAGGATGTAGTAAGAACTGAGTCTGTGTGCTTATAAATAAACAGTGCACTATTATAAGCCTTGCATGTTACTTATTATTTACACGTGAACTGCGCTGCTTGGTCATGGTCGTCAACATCTGACTGATGTAAGACGTAAGAAGATCGTCCATCTTGTATCCCTGTGGATAGTAAGGAAAGTCAGTTGATAAAGTAAGCCACACCGCAAACTGCATGTCTTTTAGAAAGGAATAGCTGGTGCATTTGCGTCACCAAAGTACCATGATATTACCATCTGATACCATCACTGTACCACCACAGTATTTTATGAAAGGGGTGACTCACCAGTGAAGTCTCACACAGCAGTTTGCTGCCTCTAACCAGGTTACCAATGGTAATGTGGAAATAGGTATGTCCACTACTCCAGTTAGAGATTTTGGTGAAGGGATGTGTGCCCAAAATGTCCTGCAGACAGATGGTATATCTGTATTCAAAGGTTTTTACAAAAGGGCCTAATAATACATTTCTGGAGATTTTTGACTCAAAAGAGGGAGGTTGGCCACTTTGCGTTAGTCTTTATTTATGTTACTGCAAGGTAAGTGTAACATCAGCATTTAAATATGAATGCTAAAATGCTAAAATAAAATACACTACCAGTCCAAAGTTTGTAGCCAGTAAGATTTTTTTTTTTTTTGTAAAAATATACTTTTATTCAGCAAAGACACATTAAATAAAAAATTGACAGTAAATTGTTACAAAAATAAAAACAATGCTGTACTTTTGAACTTTATATTCATCAAATAATCCTGGAAAATGTATCACAGTTTGCACAAAAACATAATATGTATTAAAACAGAAAACAGTTATTTTAAACTGTTTTCAAATAATATTTTACAATATTACCAACCAGCCTTGGAAAGCACAAGAGACTTCTTTCAAAAACAGAAAATCTTACCAACCCCAAACTTCAACAGTAGTGCACATAGTAAAGTTTGTACATTAGGCTAAAATTACAATATATTAAATCTGCCATTTACATACATTGGTCTGTGTAAACATACCTTTGTTTTTGGGTCAATGAGAGTAACACCATGCTTGTTGATAGCTATCAAGAGGACTTCTGGGAAATTTGGATCTGAGGATTGCTGTGGGACAAAATCAGACATCATTAAACCACACTGTCAGTGCGTTTTACACAACATAAGAAATCAAATTCTAGAATCGAAGACAAGGTAATTTTGTTTGCATAGTATTTAGTTAATTCAACAGTCTTGCCTTGACTTCAAAAAATGCAGATCCAAACGTAGGCCACTTGTAAATGATTTCCAGAAACATCAGTTTTGCTTCCTCTCGAGATTTCCCTGAATGCTTATTGAAGTACGTAACGACAGGCTGTAGAAGAAACAAAGGCACCCTTCACTGCATTCACTTGTCATAAATGGATGGCTGTATGGAGCAGGACTAGTGTTGCTCACTCACCCGTTTCCAGTCATCGGGTGACAGCTGATGGATCATGTCCTGAGGGACCAGCTCCTTCAGCATCTTGGTGAAGTTATGAAACTGTGATTTGTCCTCTTCAAACCTCACCCTGTAAATGAGCGCAGTCAGCTGGAACGCCTCTTCAAGAGAGCACTTGTGGTAGCCCCGCAGATACTTTGGGAGCTCCTAAAGACAGTTTAGTATAATGGAGGTGTCACACAAAGTGTTTAAAAGGGAGCTTAAATTCACAGATTGAGTACAAAAAGAGAGTTTTGCACCTGGAAGTAATGGAAAATGGAGTCAGCCATGGGATCTTTGCCTGGAATGGTGTTGCTCCACAGTTTCTTCATGAAAAACACTTGGTAGGTCAGTGAAGGCACTGTGCCTACAAAACCAACAGAATCATTAAGGCCTCTCATGTCTACACTCAATATATTGATCATTTTAATGAACAATACACATAATCACCATCTTTCACAGTTCTGGCTTTTTTAATCCAGTCTGTCAGATGTCGAACAAAGTCAAAGAAGAAATCTCCTTCTGGCACACTGATCACCTGAAACGTTTAACCCAATATTGACATATCAAATAAGACATCTTACATTAAAATACACACACATACTGACAACTAACTGCTGACTACAGGACATGTGTTTTAAGAAACTCTCAGGAGAAAGCTGTAACATAAAAATCACCTCCTGGGTTATTTAATGTGTCATAACCTCATACAGAACACCTTCATCTCAACTGAACAGACATTTGACAGCTCTGTAGCCTCACCTTGTCAGAAATTTTGACAAACAAGCTGAAGCCTTCAGAAGATTGGAGCATCATTCTGCCAGTGATGTTCAGACAGAAATCTTTGGCTTTTGTGCTTGATTCAACTTCAAAAGCCTATTCATAAATAAATACATAAATAAAAAGACACTATTAGACGCACAGTGTGTTATGTGGGGAGTACATTTGAGCATGTATACAAACAGTAGGGGGCAAAAAGCCTGAGACTACTTGTGTAAATCAGGTAAAACAACGTTTTCTTTACTTGAACCAAGATTAACCTTACTGAAATAAACTTATTTTATTTCAGGTAGTTGCAAAGGCAGCATTTCCCATTTTTAGTTTAGCACTAGTACTAAAATAATAAAAACTAAATAAACTAAAATTAATAAATACAAATTAATTACAATTTAGGCATATTAAAACAAAACTTAAAAAAATAAAATGACTAAAACAAACAAAAATGAAAGTGAAATCTAATTCAATATATTAACAAAACTATCGTTGATACTAAAATAAACCTGGGGCCCGTTCTTCATATGTCACTAACTCAGTTAGCGGGATTTGATTGTTGATGATTTGGCATGATCTTGGATTGTTTGGTTCTTTCGAAGCTCATCCTGGACTTGCTGTCATAGCAACAGGTCCGTAAGCTTAAACCTGCTTGGGAGCAGGCTTATTTCATGTAAACAGGATTAGATCGCATCTTTTTAAGCAGAATTGATAC